TGGTGAAACTTTTTGTATGCTCCGCATTCCTCACTACATTCTTGGCAAGTGCTTTGGGAATCAAAAGGTTTTCAAGAATAAGGCCTTGGCAAATAGGCTTGATCCTAGTGGAGTGTGATACATTTGGGCGGCGAAACTGTTGATGGCGAAGTAAATGGCAGTGTGTTTTGAATTGATCACTAAATTGTAACAACAACTGCCTCTGGCTCTCTTCAACACTACCCACGGTGGTTACTCGATCAACTATCACATGGAGAGAAAGCGCCGCCTTGCGAGAGCCATGGATGATGCACTCGATGCAGTTAAATGGCTACAAACATAGACTCTGTCGAATAGTGCTAATCCATGGTTACCAGATAGGTTGATTTTGATCGGATTTCGTGGTAGGGGTAGAGAGGGGTGGGGTTTGGAGAAGATGAATCTTTTGATTTAATTATTTTATTGTAGAAATATATATTGACAATTTTACCCTCCATTTAATCTGTCTATTTGAATCAAAATTCCAATTTCAATGTTGACCACTGGGATTCTGGATGGAATTCATCCAATGGACTCTAGCACCATTAAAGTAAAAGGTTTGGAACCACAATCACAAAAATAAAAGATTAAAGTATATCCTGCAACAAAACGAAAGTTTGGGACCTCCACTGCAATTTTTCCTTTAAAAAGTTATATCCGAGTATCTAAATGAAGATATGATCTATTGTATATTCCTTGCACAAGTTTTAAAATTAATTTAATGTCGTCTCGTGTAATCATTCTCACTACTTTATTTTGCATTTTTCGAACTTTTTCCCAATTTTTCAAGTGGGTGGGGGGTTGTTGCTGGTGGAGGTTGTTGCCGGTGTTGGGTCGGAAAAAATTGATTAGACCTTTTTTGTTCTATTTTCTTCCTATTTTTCTTTCTTCATTTATTTATAATTAGGATAATATTTAGAATTAATCCATATGTACAGAATGATTTTTCACATAATTTCTACATATGAGTCACATGGCAAGTGGGCCCCGTGTGAATTTAATATTGCCAAAAAAATCGGACCCCACCTAATTGTGTGTATTCTGCATGACTTCTGTGAACGTAGCATCATTCTAATATTTATTAAATCATGTTAGATTATATTATTTTATACACCGTCTCATTTATATAAGTTGGTTTTGTTTTTCACCCGAGTTAAGAAATTTTATTAATGTTATTAAAAATCAATTTTTGTTTGCAATTATTTAATTATCAATAATTAGTAGTAAATTATTGTTGGAAGTAGTAAAGAAATCGAATGATTTACTTTTCAAGAAGTATGTATGTATGTTTGTATGAATTATTTTACGTGTACATGAAATGTTACATCATGGGTGACATTATGTAATCGATTGATAAAAAAAATGTTTTATTTCCTATAACCACTTACATAATACGACTTATACATTATGCAACATTTCGTGTAATTCTTGATATACATGTAGCAAAGTCCTCCTTATATTTGTACAATTTTAAGATTAAACGAGAAAAATTGATTATAATTAAGCAAATTAAATAAGAATATATTAGTAAACGAAAAGAATAAAATATTTTCAATTAAAAAAAAAGACTATACAAAAAATAAGGAAAGTCGGACTATATAAGTAATTAGGATTTGCTTAACCACCAATTAAAACATAAAGATTTCGTCGTCCTACGCGAAAATAATTCATCACACAGTCACCCATTACAGTATATTGCCGTCACATGTTGATCCTTTTCTGCCACTCACTCTCTAGCAACACAACAAAATTCTAAAGCAACCAGGAGAGAGAAGAGAAGAAGAAGAAAAAAGGGAGGTGGTCACTACCCTGGTAGGGCTACGCCTTTAATTTTCCACGACGAAGAAAACCCAGCTGTAAACTCTACAGAAATGTCCACCAGAGTCCCCACGAGGGCCTCCGCCTCCTTTCGCGGATGTTTCTGCTGCCTTTTTCTCCTCTTCGTGTGTATTGCTCTATTAATCCTTGTTATTATCCTCGTAATTGTACTGGCTGTGAAACCGAAGAAACCGGAGTTCGATCTCCAGCAAGTGGAGGTTCAGTACGTGGGAATTAGCCCCACCACCCCGTCCTCCGCCGCTGTCTCTCTCACTATCCACATGCTTTTCACCGCCGTCAATGACAACAAGGTAGGCATCAAGTACAGTGAGTCCAAGTTCACGGTCATGTACCGCGGTATCCCTCTGGGTCGGGGCATCGTTCCCGGATTTTATCAACCCGCCCATAGCGTCCGGCAGGTCGAGACTACTATTGCCGTCGACCGGGTTAGCTTGCTTCAGACTGATGCTGCTAATTTGATAAGGGATGCCTCGTTGAATGACAGGGTCGAGTTGCGGGTCGAAGGTGATATCGGTGCAAAGATCCGGATTCTTGGGTTCACTTCACCTGGTGTGCAGGTTAGCTGAACTCAGCTTGGCTCAATAATTATACAATTTTTGCTCTCTATTTTCTTGATTAAAGTCATTTTCTCTAAGTTTTATACGTCATTTCGTAACGTGCACATTGTGACTTTGCTAGAAATGTGGGGCATAATGTTCCTACGATAACAAAGTTAATTGTTTCAATAATCACCCAATAAATATTACTTTGCTAGAAATGTGGGGCATTACGTGACTCGGGTAACAAAGTTAATTGTTTCAATAATCACTCAATTTATATCATGATCACAGATTAGTAACTAAAAAAGAGCTCGCTCAACTTTGTTCGTCCTCAGCCTCGAAAATTTGTTACCTTATTCGCTTACGTGCCTGGCGGAAATCTGACGTGGCAATTTACGACCGTTAAAAAAATTACAACTCAACCTAACCATTGTTTCATTTATCATTCAACTTACATTCAGGTCTCAGTTTACTCATCGGACTTCAAAATGTTTTTCAATGGTCACTCATCTATGTAATGTTGGGCTCCATTCATCATCCGCAATATTTCGTTCCCTTCATTACTAATGTTTGCAGAAAAATTTCAAGTGGTAAGTTACAAATGTTAAAAAAATTACAACTCAACAAAACTATCTACTCACCAAAATCATCGTATGTGAAACATGACTTCCATGGCCCCATAAACTTCTTTAAAATCCAATAAAGCACCCCTAATGATTCTCTTAGAAATATCATTTTTCTAATTCAAATGTTGCCGGTGCAAAACATAGATTTCAATCTGAAAATTTGAAGTATAACTTGTTCTGCTGGAAATTGGTTTGTGAAAATATTTTGTTTATATATCACCCATTTGTCTTCTAATTGCATCCAATCGATCATATGTGATCTTCAATCATCGTTTTATATTTCGAATCAACTATTGTATATTTGCATTTTGATTTCCGAACTTTAGATTTCTTGCAATTTCACCATTTTCTCGTTCATTGTCTCCAATTTCGTCAATTTCATCGATCTTTACCTATCAAACACAATATACATAGAACTAAGCCATAATTCATTAAAATATCTAGTAAATGCTCTAATTTAAATGCTTTAATAAGTGTACAAAATACACTTATCACTAAGGTTTTTTAGGGTTAAAATTGGGGACCTTTATTGGATTTTAAAGAAATTTATGGGGGTGTGGAAGTTGCGTTTCGCATATGGTAATTTTAGTGAGTTGATAGTTTGGCTAAATTGTAAATTTATTATTATTTATTTTTTTATTTTTTTATTTTTTTTTATGATTGTAACTTACCCGTGGAAATTTTTCGTACATTAAATTAGCAATGAAGTGAACAAAATATAGCGGATGATGAATGTAGTGTAACATCACAAAGATGAGTGACCATTGAGAAGCATTTTGAAGTTCGATGAGTTAACTGTGACCAAATGTAAGTTGAATAAGTAATAAAATAATGGTTTGGTTGAATTGTAATTTTTGTAATGATCGTAACTTGCCACATTAGATTTTTGTTAGCCACGCCAGCGAATAAGATAACGAATTTTTAAGGGTGATGGATGAAATGCATACGGACAAAGTTTAGTGAGCACTTTGAAGTCAGTGAGTAAACTGTGACCATGGTATAAGTTGGGTGATTATTGAAACAATTAACTCCGGGTAATAGGTGGTGTTTTTCTTTCTTTTCTTTTTTACGTACTAAATTAAAGACAAATAATTAATCTTAAATAAAACTCTATTATGCCCACTTTGTTTTTTGATTAGATTACGTCCCTCTTTGGCTTAGATAAAAAGTAGATTTTTAGTGGATTTTGATAAATGTCAATGAATGTATGATTCAAGTTAATTGCTGACTGAGATTTTAATGTTTTCTTAATTAAGCCAAACTAGTTAAGTTGTTGTTTGTAGAATTGTAGGCTCAAGTAATGAAGTGAAATGTCATTTTCGCTCAGCCCTCAAGTATTTTTGTTGTATATGTCAAGTTTTGCCTCCCCTTATAATCTTTAATTAATATATTTGCAATAGCGTAGACTTTTGTTTTTGGCCCGACACTTCACACATACGATCAAGGTGTATATATCGTTTACGTGTCGATGTAATATGTATCAAGAAGAGAAAATGCGGACATAGTATAATGGTAAAATTTCTCTTTGACAGGGTGAGGAATAGAAAGGGAAAATGTCGGGCTAGCTTTAAATTTTTTTATAGAATGTTTCTTTGCTTTGGTTTCACGTTGCAATCGAATGCCATTGAGCAGGGATCAAATGACTGTGACAGGCACAAAAATTATTTCTTTATTTTGTGCCCTTTAGGAATCTTCGAGAATATGACGGTCACTAAGGGCAATATTGTAAGCAGTGCAGTTAGAATCGAGTCTGTGCGCTAACCCAATTTTGTACGTAGTACTTTTAGAATCTCTTGGCATTATTCCATTTTTTCTAGACGTGCGATACCTGTCTATTTTATACGTTCGGAGGTCAGTAATTGGCTTTAACAAGCTATGCATTGACATTAGAGGTTTAGGAATATACATCTGAAGTTGATTGCCATCTACGATCTTTTATCCTTGAATCCTGGATTTGTATGGTAAGAATTAAGGGTTTGCATTTTTTGTAAAATGTGGTTGCAATGGTTGATTATAAGTGTTGACTCACACGAATAGTGAATGTGTGACAGGTATCGGTAGATTGTGCAATAGTGATCAGTCCTAGAAAGCAAGCTGTAACGAGCAAGCAGTGCGGATTTGATGGCCTCAGCGTATGACCCGTCCAATAATCTGATGCGATTTCCAACTCTCCCTGTGTCTCTGTAAGTAGAGAGGGAGACGGAGATCTTATTAATTGTAGAAAAGTTGAGACACTACTATTAGCCTTTATATTTATAAGGAGATTTTTGCAAGTTTTGGAGTCTGAATGTTGTATACCCACACCCACACCCACTCCCTTTGAGTATTACCATTGGCCTTGATATCATTGCCATAGTTTCTTTATCTGATTTGAAAGTTATTTTTACTTTGGACCAGGTTTATACGTTTAATTCTACTCGCATGTGCAATAGTTCTGAGTAGATTTTTCAAGAGGGCCAAATAGCTTGACTCACCTATCACGAGGCTCTATAGTTCAGCCCTGAGGGCGAGCTAGCTCACTTCACCGAAACGTCAAAAAAGACATTTTCTGAGTATAGAAATAAAATTCCCACAAAACATCAAAATTTAAAACTAGTGATAAAATTCAGCCAGCAAAGCTCTCAGTTTGCTCTCAGAACTACAATCCAGGAGTTTCGCACCACAAGTGCAGAGGTTCAGAAAAGAATTTCAGATATTTCATAATCAACTCAAATGCAAAACTGAAGAAATTCAAAGTTTCTCATAAATTCTTCTCGAGTAGAATAACTAGGCCTTAAGACGACCATAAAACTTCTGCTTCTCCTCTGTTGTCTGGAAGCGTCCATGTCCAAACTTAGATGAAGTGTCAATGAACTTGAGCTTAATATCTTCTAGGGCAAGGCGAGAAGTCTGGTTGAGGAGAGACTGACGTAGAGTAACAACCCTTTTCTTAGGACCAACACAGCAACCCTTGATCATCAGAAAATCATCCTTGACCACTCCATAGTGAGGAAATCCACCCATAGGTGTAACATCTTTCTCAGTCCTGCAGTCAGAGAACTCCATGTGAGAAGAGATATACAGTGGGGACCATATTGTACAGAACACAAATGAGGATTAATTAAGAGTCTGAGTTGGTTGAGTTGAGTTGAGACTATCGAAAACAATGACAGTCTAATTGTGAGATTAGAGTGCAAAGAAAATATTTGAACCTGTCAAACTCGGTACTGGCAGTGTGCGTCTCTTCCCCTATCTTGCCAAGCCTGTAGATCTTTTTGTTCATCTCAGTACGGTGATGGTATCCGTTCTGACCAGCCCTAGCAACAGTGAAGGAAACTCGAGCAGGGTGCCATGCACCAATACAAGCAACCTTACGGAGCCCCCTGTGGGTTTTGCGAGGAAGACGGGTGACACCCCAACGGGTTACAACACCTTCATAACCTTTACCCTTTGTCACACCAATAATATCAATCATCTCATCTTTCTGGAAAACAGCATCCACAGGGACCTGCTTCTCAAAAAAACCATATGCAAAGTCGACCTTCTGTGCAATAGTCCCACCATTAACTTGAATCTCCATCAAATGTGCTTTCTTCTGTTTCAGCCCCTTCATCTTCCTTATCTGCATTGTGAACAGTTGAAATTTGATTAGCCTTTGTGGTTGTGAAGAAGATGGCCACAGGCTTCAAGGAGTTGGGAGCAATAGCCATTTTCAAACGAGGAAGTTAAAGCTTCAACTAAGACAGCTGGGGCCTGAGGATGGAAATGGCTAAGGATGGAAATGACTGAGGGTTCTCTGATCTATCCTGGAGACACCCTCATTTTTTATTGGAAGCAGTGGGCAGGGGTGAATTTTACGGCTCAATCCAGTTTTCTGAATTGCCAAGCAAGCAACTTTCAGGAGATAATATTGAACCGGAAATTACAACAAAATAAAAAGATCTAAATCAAGCGCAGAGTCACCAAATTCTGATGCATTATCCCACTTTTCCATATGTTATGGCAATTTAGCCATCCAGCAGAATGATTATGTATTTCATGTGAAGGACAATGCATCAAAGTGTAATTGTTAGACCTTGTATGTTACCAGAAAAAAAGTGTTCCTTTATGCCAATGTGGTTTTATCCACAACAAATTCTATAGACTATGCAAAGTGCCATAGTATCCTATTGCACCATTAACTATTTTACTGGTAATTTAGCCATCCAGCGGAATGATTAAGTATTTCATGTGAAGTATTCTATTGCCACCAAACCACATTCAAAGGTGACTAGACTTGCACCGTCCTGTCTCGAATGAGTATTTGACCAATTGGCATGTTGCTTATCTACTAGAACTCAAAAGATAAAAAAACTTTAACACGTCAATACCTGAGTGTGAGCCAAAACACGAATAACAGATGCATATTTCTTCATCTTCTCTAGCTGTGATTGGAGATCTTTTTTCCCCTCGTCGGTCTCCAGTTTCTTTGAATACTTGGTGAAGGCCTTCTTCTTAGACTTGCACCAGTTCTTGTAAAACCTCCTCTTTATCTCCTCGCTCAGGTGCTGAGCCCAAACAGTGTTAAGGCAGCGAAGACCACGAGGTGTCTTCACATAGCCTACCACTCCAACAATAACCATTGGAGGTGTTTCAATTATGGTTACAGCTTCGCAAGTCTCTTTCTTGTGAAGTTCTGCAGTTAACAGTTCCAAATGAGATTTCAATTAGATTTTATGTGATACAAAAATGGGCATAATATTTGTCTATAAAAAACATAGCATGCTCATAGAGAACTTTACTGCATCTTTTTTAGCCATTTATTTCCAATGATAAATCAGTATATATCTGGACAATTAATTTATACAGACAACTTTATGAAAATAAATCACAGGCAATCAACAAGAAATTATCACAATTATTTTACTTGATCCAGGTTTCTCGACTTCTCTGACAATGTGAGTCATGCCAGCCTTGTAACCCAAAAAGGCAGTTAGCCTACAGGGCTTGGTGGGATCATCCTTAGGGAACGCCTTCACTGCATTATTCGAGAAAAAGAACATTGTTATGACCAAAGAAATGGCAGATATATAAGTTTGCTACCATTCTACCACATAATGACTTGCAAATACATATATA